TTTTAAGAGATGGGACATTTAAAAAATTATATAACATGAATATTAGTGAACTTTAAACAAATATATATTGTTTGGTTGAGAATTAAAATTTATGTACAACTATTAAAAAATGGATTATAATCTAATATTTTATAGATAAAAAAGACTTTTGAATAGCATACATTGACTTATTTTATTGGATAATACTTTGGAAACTATTTAAAAATATAATTTAGCAAATTAACAAATAACTAAAAGATATATATTTGAAACAAATATAGGTACATAAATAAAAAATAAACTCTTATCCGAATATTCAAACCAAATAGTCTAATCCAAATTGTCCGATTGGATAATTCGGTTTTATCCGAATAATGAACAACCCTATGCGCGATGCAGCGGGGCGACGAATAGTTTCATTCTTGAGATTAGCTAATTTTAACCGGAAGATGAATAGTTTGCTTCTACGTATTCGGGTAATCACGACTGCTTGTTTTTGTACCGTTCTTTTTCGATCTGGTGTTTTTTCTTACTCGTCTTTTTTTTTCCGATCCGGTTTCCTTCTGAGGGTCTTTTTCATTCACTTTTTTTGTTTGAATTCAAGTTTTTTCGGTTTGGTATTTGTTTTTTCGTTTCAGTTCTACCTTTATGGATTTTAATGTCCGTGTTTTCGTTTGACCCGAACCTGCTTAATTATATTAGTCAGTTTGCATTAAATGAGACTAAAATTTTATTAACCAAGACATTGAGCTATATGTAACATTATATATGTTGTCATATTACATCAAATTGAAAATTAACATTTCACTTTTAAATGTTTTATGTTATGAAGTTTTAATAGATATTTTGATTAATTTATATAATCCGTTAACATTTAAATAATAAAAATCTAAGCTACAAAAATATTGTATTACAAAATTTAAACTTTTGAATTGGACCTAATATTGGATATGATATGATATTCAACTTATTTTTAATATCGAATTGCAACTGTTATAGATAATTAGAACATATAATTTTCAAAATAAATTTTTTATTTTTAATAAATGGCGTTAGACAATATTAATTTTTTTACCTTTACATCTTATACGTATATACATGGGAAAATGACTTGAGAGGGTAAGTTACTATTTGAAATGTACACATTTAGTCCTTATTCTTTTTTTTTGTAAAATAAGCCATTATACTTTATTAATATGTACACAATAGATCCTTTTGACCGGCTTCTGTGGGTTTTGCTGATGTGGAAGCACACGTGGCACTAACAACAACTGCATACAAATTAATTAGCGTAGTCACTCCTTATAAACGAATGTTAACATCAAAAATCAGGAAGAACCACCTTCAAAGTCGAACACATAGTAGATAAGAGAAGTGGGGAATTCGTAGAAGAAGAAAGAAGATGTCAAGTGGCTCAAGAATCTCCACAGGTTCAAGCAATCAGAGAGTAGATAAGGAAGTCCTCTGTGATTGTGAACTCCCTTCAAGAATTCGTACCTCCAAGACCAAAGATAACCCTGGAAAGAAATTCCGAGTGTGCCCTAACTCATTGGTAAATACCTAAATTGATTTTATTTGTCAAATCGCATCAATTATCTTCTTCTTACCTTCTATGTTGTTGATTTTATTACTACATAAACCAGGGAAAAAGTGTAAATTTTGGGAATGGATTGATGAAGAACCTGAGAATATGAAGCCCGTTACAGAGGATACTCTTTTAGATTTTGCAGATTGTCTTATAAACAGTTTTAGAGAATGTGACATATATTAGAGAAGAAGTGAAACAGTTGAAGGTTATGATTCAGATACTGATTCTGCTGGTCATTGTTAAGGTTATGTTTTGGGGTTGAAGATATGCTTCTGGTGGTTTTAGGGGATTTTGATGTAATAGACTTGTTGTGTAATTCTTGTTTATGTAATGGATGTTGATGTACTTTATGTTTATGTAATGGTAAAGTTTATTACTATTATATATGGATGTTGATGTAATTAAGTCAGTCAAATGGAGGTAAAACCAAGACAAATTACAGGAAAGATTCTTATAAAGACAATTGGATGTAAAGACAAATAAAAGTGGATGACAAAAGGCATCAAGCCATTTAATAATTACAAAAGATAAGCCACCAGTAGGGGTAATACAGTAATTTAGTTCAAAAGATTCGACAAGTACATCAAAAGTAAACAACTAGTAGGGGTAATACACATCACGCGGTGCGCGACGATGGAGAGTGGCTTGGGCTTAGCAGCCAACAATCATGGAGATGTTACGTGGGAGAGCGTCGCGTGGAGTGGATCGGTTTTGGCTGCCAGCGATCGTAAGCACATCACGCGGGAAAGCATCGCGTGGAATGGATCGGGCTTGGCTGCCGGCGATCGTAGATAAATCACACAGAAGAGCATCGCGTGGAATGGATCGGGCTTGGCTGCCGGCGATCGTAGATAAATCACACGGAAGAGCATTGTGTGGAATGGTTGGGGCATGTTGCTACACTGGAGTCGGGCTGAGAAGCCAGGCGACTCGAGGCAAGACTACTGAACCTCGCATGCGGAGCTTGCCGCTATAATGGAGTCGGGCTGAGAAGCCAGGCGACTCGAGGCGAGGGTTCTGAACCTCGCATGCGGAGCTTGCCGCTATAATGGAGTCGGGCTGAGAAGCCAGGCGACTCGAGGCGAGGGTACTGAACCTCGCATGCGGAGCGTGCCGCTATAATGGAGTCGGGCTGAGAAGCCAGGCGACTCGAGGCGAGGGTACTGAACCTCGCATGCGGAGCTTGCCGCTATAATGGAGTCGGGCTGAGAAGTCAGGCGACTCGAGGCGAGGGTACTGAACCTCGCATGCGGAGCGTGCCGCTATAATGGAGTCGGGCTGAGAAGCCAGGCGCCTCGAGGCGAGGGTACTGAACCTCGCATGCGGAGCGTGTCGCTATAATGGAGTCGGGCTGAGAAGCCAGGCGACTCGAGGTGAGGGTACCGAACCTCGCATGCGGAGCGTGCCGCTATAATGGAGTCGGGCTGAGAAGCCAGGCGACTCGAGGTGAGGGTACCGAACCTCGCATGCGGAGCGTGCCGCTATAATGGAGTCGGGCTGAGAAGCCAGGCGACTCGAGGCGAGGGTTCTGAACCTCGCATGCAGAGCTTGCCGCTATAATGGAGTCGGGCTGAGAAGCCAAGCGACTCGAGGCGAGGGTACTGAACCTCGCACGACTGGGCGTAGCACCCTACAATCTATGTGTCTAGCTCGTGTGACCAGTCTGAGTTAAAGCGGAATGGTACCTGATGCTTTGCTGCATCGCTAGTCGTACTAATAAATGATGCCTCACTGTCTTGGCTGTTTGTGGAGAGCTATGTGGCGGTGCTACTTATAGCTTGATAGTGTAGCTGCCGTCAAGTGGTGCGTAGCGAGACCGCCGTCAGGAACTGGTCAGCAGCGCCGCTGAGGCCCGGGGAGCGAGCTGCTAGCGATAGGTGAGCAGCGCGACCACCGAAAGCTGGGCAACGAGACTACCGAGGGTTGAACCACGAGGCTGTTCTTTCGATCTAGAATATTAATGTTACCCCGAGTGCACAACACTATTCCCCCCCTCTCTTTTACTTTACAGGAGGCGAGGACGGATGTATAGCCGCTGAAAGGCGAGATACATAGCTGTTGGAAAGAGCTGGGCGACCCAAGTACTAACAAGAACTAGGTTGGCGCGGCTCCCAAGAGCTGGGCAGCGCGACCGCCAGTCCAACAACGTAACTACTGATGGCTAGGCCTTGCAGCTGTTGAGCTGCGTCGCATCGCTACTGAGAGTCAGGCTGTGCAACCGCTGAGAGCCAGGCAGCGCAGCTGCTGAGGGCTAAGCAGCGAGACTAACGAGGGCCGGTCAACATGAGTGGCGAGAGCTGAGTGGCAAGGCTGCCTGAAGTTGGTCAACACAGTTGTTGATAGCCGAGCAACACCATTGTTGAGGGCTATTTTGAAATTCTTCACGAGTAGCAGTAGTAGTGTACCACTCTTCTCCCCCTCCTTTTTTTTTTTTTTTGAAAATGTTGAGCATATTCTGAAACGTTTTTTCTAAGCGGGGCTTGGGGCATGCTAGCGTTAAATTGTTGGTTATTGTCTTTGCAAAGAGTGACCCATTAAGATGAAGAACTGATGTAAGATAAGCCCATATTGCTAAAATAAATTCGGGAGCTCATTTGACTAATAGATAGTCCGATTTTTTTTTCTTTTGAAAATGTCGGGTGAGTCTGAGCCGCAACGCATGTTTTGAAAATGAATTTTGTTTAGCGGAATTGCGCAGACTTTATATTGTTGATCCTCATCTCACGGGATTAGCCAATTAAGTTGCTGAGCCAACCCAATATAAAAGGAGTCCAAATTAAATGTTGTAACCCATCTTTGAACTATAGCCCCAATAATATATTCACGAGCCCATTTGTTAATTTAAGCCCAATGGTCATTTCTTTCTTTTGCGTTGTGTGCATAATCAGATTACACAAAGGTGGCCCACGATGCTTTTATCATTTTGAATTAAAGGGTTAGCAGCTGCTCCTCACTGTCATGGTGAGAGATGCCAACAAGGGAAAGGAATGGATGACTAGAAATCTGGCAACTACCCGTGGTTATAGGGGATTTTGATGTAATAGACTTGTTGTGTAATTCTTGTTTATGTAATGGATGTTGATGTACTTTATGTTTATGTAATGGTAAAGTTTATTGCTATTATATATGGATGTTGATGTAATTAAGTCAGTCAAATGGAGGTAAAACCAAGACAAATTACAGGAAAGATTCTTATAAAGACAATTGGATGTAAAGACAAATAAAAGTGGATGACAAAAGGCATCAAGCCATTTAATAATTACAAAAGATAAGCCACCAGTAGGGGTAATACAGTAATTTAGTTCAAAAGATTCGACAAGTACATCAAAAGTAAACAACTAGTAGGGGTAATATAGTAATTAAGTTCAAAAGATTACCCCACACTACATCAAAATATATATCACATGTATTACCCCACTACATCAAAACCTAATTACTCTAAGGTCACAGGTTTGTCTTGGCTGCATCCAGTTCCATCCTTGACTTTAACATTTTTCTGAAGACCAATTTCTGTGATTCTTTCTGAAGACTTTCTCACCCTACCAGCATCATTCAAAGGAACCTTCTTCATAGGACCTCTCTTCACAGGACCCTTCTTCACAGGAGCCTTCTTCACATGAGCTTTCTTCACAAGAGTTCTCTTGACAGGAGCTGGAGTTGAATGACTTGGACCTGCTGTGCTTGAATCTGGAGTGGAATGAATTGGACTTGCTGTGCTTGGAGCTGGAGTTGGCTTACTTGGGCATATGGCTTTGTTGTGGCCAGTTTGGTGGCAAATGGTACATCTTAGAGGAATGCCTGCCCTTGACACAGTATGCCTTGTGTGCCCACTTAGCTCTCTTTCTGCCTGATCTCTTTTTCTTTTGACACATGGCCTGCCAGGTAACCTCCTCTTTAATGGAGGCAAAATAGTATGAAGTGCTTCAACATGTGGCCACTCAGAACTGTCATTGAGTGGATGGTTGTTATACTCATAACTACTATGGAAAGAGGCTTTAGTATGGGAGTTTGATACAAAAGCCTCCACATCTAGGTTCAATGATGAAATTGCTGATATGGCATGTACACATGGAATGCCTGTGAGTTGCCAGCTTCTGCATCCACATGCCCTCTGATTCAGATCAACAGCATACCTCTCATTTCCTTAGAACACTTCAAATTCTTTGTAGCCACTCACATAAGGTACCCAAAATCTGTCAATATACAAGAAGATAGTCAGTTACCATTATAAAACCAATGTATAAAATAATGAAATAGTTACTAACCTTTGCAATTCTTTCAAATCCTCTATTTCCCTTCTGATACTTGGGCATATGTCCAAATCCCAACTCAAACCATTTTGCTTCTGCATCCATAACCTCTGCATTGCCCAACATCTTATGTCCTCCAACATTGTTATCAATGGTTTCCTTCTAGCATCAAGTACAGCAGAATTGAAACTTTCAGAAACTCCATTTTCTACTGCATCACAGTCCATACCCTCTCTAAAAAAAGCCTTTGACCAAACACCTTGGATCCCTGTCTATGAGATAGTCATAAGCCCTACTTTCCAAGGACTTAATCTCATTCATTGCTGCTTCAAACTTTGGTACAGTTGTTGCATTCACAGCCCTCCAAAATGGTTTAAAGTATTGTTCTCCTTTAAATTTTTTGTGGAAATTAGCTAGAATGTGTCTAGCACATAATCTATGCTCCACATCAGGAAGTCTTTCCTTCACAGCTTCAAATAATCCCTGATTGAAACAATAAAATGATTAGTTAATTAAATGATCAAAACAGTTAAATTTAATTGAAAAAAATAGAATGATTACCTTATGGCCATCTGAGAGGATTGTAATGCCATGACCATTCCCCCCTCCAATGTCTTCCATCAGGTTGTCCAAAAACCATTTCCATGTCCTTTTGTTCTCAACATTGACTACTGCCCAAGCCAAGGGATAGATGTTATTATTAGCATCTCTACCCACTGCTGATAGGAGCTCCCCTCTACAAACACCCTTAAGAAAGCAACCATCAACCCCAATTACCTTTCTGTATCCATCTAACCACCCATCTACAACACCTTTAAAGCTAACATAAAACCTATCAAACACCACAGTATTATCAGGTTGTGGCTCCAAGAACACCTCAACATGTGAACCTGGATTAGCCCTTCTGATTTCAGCTGCATAATCCCACAGTTTGGCATAATGTTCTTTCAAACTTCCCTCAACTTCAGACAATGCTAACTTTTTTGCATTCCTACACCGCCCAACACTCACATTAATGTTGTATCTCTTAGATACTAGGGCTTTCATTTTCCTCAAACTTAGTTTAGGACTCTCCAAAACATCATTCACAAATTGTTTTCCTATCCACTTATATGTTACAATTGAACCAAGTTTGAATGCCCTAGAACACTTGTGCTCTGTTATAAGAGACTTAATCTGAAAAGTGTGTTCCTCTTTCATCCAGGAAGCATACAATCTAAAAGGGCATGTGGGATTCTTTCCTTTACAACACCTAACTAGCAACATAGTCTTGTCATTCTTTTCATACCACAAATCATAACCATTTGCTACAGCATAGCAACTAAGAGAGTATTTAAGTTCAGCAGTAGTAGAGTATTTCATACCTAATCGAGGCTTCATTTGATTCCATTCTTGAGTATGATCATGTCTTGGGAAGATAGGCCGTATTGCATTATGATCTTCTTCAACCAAGTCATCATTCTGTATTGAACAAAGTTTGTTGAGGAATGGATCATTGAAATTTCTTTTGAGAGATATAATTGTTGGATTAGGTGTCTAAGCCCATAACTATAATTGGTATGTACTTGAATTGATAGCAGCACAGTCCTTTTGGGTTGCCCTCAACCTAGCAACTGGACAAGGAAATTATGAAAGGAGAGATATTAATTTATAAGATTAATAAATTAATATATATAAATGATTTATTAATATGTTAATAGATTAATATATTAATTAGAAATCATTATGTTTAATTAATAATTAACCAGAAATTAATCAGAATTAATTTTGGGGTTAATAGAATTAATTATAAAGTGCAGGGACTAGTTTGCAATTAACTGATAGTTGAATGGAAGGATCTAGAACCCCCTTGGAAGGGGGTGGACGAAAACCCTAGGGGAAACCCTAGAGAATTCGTCCAAGGGGTCCAAGATAAGGCCCTTGGGTCTTGCTTAGGCCCTAAGCAAAGGATAATTAGGGTTTCCACTAAACCCTAATTCCCTCAACTATTTAAGGAGCCTCCTGGCTTACATTTGAGACTACTCATTCTTTGGAAGAATACCTTGGCCGAAATTGCATACTCCCTCCCCTCTCTCTTCTTCTACTTTCCTTCTTGCTAGTCATTGGGTGTGATTCCATTAGAGGCATTACACTTGTGGTGCTAAAGCTTCCAAGAAGATCAAGATCAAGATCAAGGGAATTATCAATTGTTTGCTATAACAATTGAAAGGTATGTAAACCCTAAACCCTAGTTTGTTAATTTCGAAATTAGCCTCTCTCCTCTAGGGTTCTTGTTTTGCAATTCAAAGTTGTATGTTCAATAGTTAAAACATAGATCCAAAGTAGGTTGCATGTGAACTTAGGAATTGTTTTCTAGTTTATTTGGTTTACCTAAAACCCATCAGTGGTATCAAAGCCATTGTTTGTTTTAAATTGAATTGCTACAAATTGTTGAATTGCAAATTAGGGTTTATAGCTATTAAACCCTAAAGGCCAGATTTTCGATTTCTAGGGTTTTGGATAAAAGGGTTTTCAAAACCCTAGCCTCCAAAGAACCCTAATCGAAATTTAGGGTTAGGGTTTTGAAAACCCTAGCCTCCTCCCTTGTGAATTTCGAAATTAACCTAGTAGTTTTAGGGTTTCTTGGTTTTTGGATAATTGTTACTTAATTAGATTAATTGGATAATTATCCTTACCCTAATTTTCGAAATTTAGAGGGATAAGGATTAGGATTAAATTAATTGATTAATTTAATTAGATAATCCTTATAAGATTTAATAATTTGATTAATAGTTAATTAAAAGATAAATATTAAATCTAGTTAATTGGTTTATTTAAATTTAAATTTAATTGCTTAAATTTCGAAATTTATGTAAACCATTGGAGTTTTAAAATGTTTTAAAACCCACCTTATATATGTATTATGATTAAAAGTTTAATATTATATATGTATAAGAATATGGTCAGTCGAATCGCTAGTATGCCTCATTCACGAAGCTAATCTATAAGGGGGGTATAAGGAAACTGCCTATAAAATGGTATTTGAATGGGTGTCCACTCTCACCCACCGCTTCCTTGATTAGTGGTGGGTCGTTAGCAGAACGGATTTGATAGGACAACTACTTCTCATTAAAAGTATAATGATATTAAAGAAAGTACTAGAACATTATTTTCAAAAATCCCAACTCTAGTTACTTTAGGAAAAATGTGAAAAGTATGCTAATCCATGAAAATGCACATTATGCTTTATTGGTCGTTAGTGGAGTGTGTGTGGTTAACCAGCATACTAAAAGGCACTAGTAAAGAGTAGTAATGGGTATCTCATAATTGTCATTTTGATGGAGCGTGTGTGGTTTACCAGCACATCAATAGTTAATGATAAAGACAATGAGGTTACCAAGCATATTTGCATGGTTATTCACGTCTTGTTTGTGATCCTCGGCATCCCAGTCACAAATAGAAGAGCATAATCTGAGATTAAAACATGCCATTGAATAGTTTCAATGTATCTCAAAAGAATTAGGAATTTCACTTCGTTTGTTTCGCCTAATGGTGGAATTGGTGAATCGTCATTCACCTACCTTTATGAAATTTGCACTTGGATCTCGGCATCCCATTTCTAAGTTGTGAATCTTCATAGTTGGATCCTAACCTTGATATTATATCTTTGGGTTATTCTATTAAGGTATCTTGAAATCTAACTAAAACTTTCTTTCTTTTCAGATGTCTACTCCTGGAAACACTTCTGCTTCGTCCTCCTCCAACCAAAACTTCTCTTTGCTCAATATCTGCTCCAAAGTCGTTATGGATGACTCAAACTATAACGATTGGATGCGCAACATCAAGATGGCTCTTCGTTTCGAGAACAAAGAATATGTTCTTGAAAAGGAGCTCAAAGAGCTTGATGAGAATGAAGCTACTCCTGAAGATCTTGCTGCCTACAAGAAACATTACGATGATGCTACCAAAGTGGCATGCATCATGGTGGAAACTATGACCCCAGAACTGCAGAGGTACTATGAGGACTACTGGCCTTTCGAGATGAACAAGGACCTTATGGAAAAGTACCATAAGCGAGCTCGTCAAGAAAATTCGAAGTAGTCAAGTCACTCATGGCTTGCAAGATGAAAGATGGGGAGTCGGTTGTGTCACATGTGCAAAGAATGCAACGCTACATAGAGCGTTTGGTCAAGCTCAATATTCACTTTGATGAGGAATTGGCCATTGACATGGTCTTGAACTCACTTCCTGAATGTTATGGTCAGTTTATTCTAACTTACCATTTGAACAATACTGAGCAGACCTTGGCCCAATTGCACAACTTGTTGCAGACAGCTGAGGCAGGGATGAAGGGTAAAAGTATACCCTCCACACCTGCAAGTGCCCCTGTGTTGGCTATTGGACAGGGAAAGGGGAAAAAGAGGAAAGGTCCTCCCAAGCAAAACTGGAAGAGCAAGGCTCAAGCCGGGTCATCTAGTAATGGCCCAAAGGCTAAGCCCAATGGTTCCACTCCCCATGTTTCTGATCCAAAAGAGGCAGTTTGCTTTTACTGCAACCAAAAGGGGCATTGGAAGAGATCTTGCCCACAATATCTGCAAGATATCAAGGATGGCAAAGTGAAGCCATCTTCGGCAGGTATTTACACTATTTCTGCTAATAACTCATTATCTTCTCGTTCATGGGTCCTTGATACTGGATGTGGTTTTCATATCTGTTCTGATTTGCAGGGGCTAAAGGAAAGTGAGGAGATAGAGCGAGGAAGGATAAACTTGATCATGGGAAACAGAAAGTCTTCACCAGTAACCAAGATCGGAGTTTATCAGCTTCTGCTTAGTAATGATGTTAGATTAGATTTAATAAATTGTTGCTACTCGTCTGAGATGACGAGAAACATTATTTCATTTCATGCAT